ATTCGGATAATACTATTAGTATTCTGAATTTCGATATCTTGGACCAATCACTATCAAATTTTATATTCATTTTTTGTGAGTTATTTTGGCAATCAATGCATACATGTAGGACTGCTTTGACCTTTGCAAGTGTCAATAAATGTAGAGGTTCAATATACAGATTACAGACTAAAGTACAATTCAAAAGTATCTCAATAACTTGAGTAAGATTACTGACTAGGGTTGATTCTATCTCAACAAAGTCTTTGCGAGAATTTGGATAGAAACTATCATTTCTATTAAGGCCTTCAAGTTTATCTCAATTGTATTGATCACAAAACTACAAAGCTCCATTTTATGATGGGAAAAATTCAACAATAGTCTTTTCCCCATTTATCAGAAACTTCAGTTTGAAACTAATATTTCACTAACTTGAAATCATGTTCATGAGTAGCAGATAGGCGTGAGGTTAATGACATCAGAGAATCAATAAAGATTCAAAACCAAATAAAATATTCCACAATAGCGCTTATGGTATTTTCACGAGTTTGAGGGAAGCAAGGTCCATAGTAATGATCTCAAATGCTGTTATATCATTCAACGGAGATATTTCCTGTGCCTCGAATGTATGCATGCTTATGTTCATATAAGCATCCTTAGCATGGACTTTCACCATCGGTAATCGTTTGGCCATCTCATGTTTCTTAGAGTTACCAAGTCTTCCATTTTGAAATTTTCATACCAACTAAATGGTTAAGGTTTAGATTTAAAATTTATAGTTTAGATTGAGAACGAGACTCTGGGAACAATCCTCTTTCTCCTGTAACAATATTTGACACAGAAATTGATCTATGCTTGACTTTGCTTTTCTGTTGCATGTTTAAGTTAAATGAATCTCCTGTTTTTAAAGGATGGACAAGACATCCGATTGCTTTAAATCACAGTTTTGAGAAATATTAAAGCTGCTTTCCATTTAGAAATCTTAAGCTATATTGTTATCATTTCTCAAAATCTCTGGTAACCTTGACCATACTTCATATTTCTATGTAGGTGACTTTGAAACTTCAAAAAGTATATGTAATTTACCTAAGTTTCTGTTTTAGTGAACTTCCAGATTGTTTTTTCTAGATCTGATGTTATGTCAAAACATTCATCTTTTTAGATCCATTTTGGTTTAGTTTTTAAAATAAATTTGACGTACCTGTCATTGGACAAGGATTTTCCTACAGCGTAAGTTGTGCTGGAGCGACGTCATGTACAATAACATTGTTTGTCACGACTTCTAGCTGTGTACATGTAGCTATTGTCAGCTGACAGCTAGCTTCTGCTTTCATTGGCCTATTCAAAAGGCTGCCAAATACTTGTATTTATAATCTATTAAAAGATTTTGATCTAGAAAAATATGTTTTCATGTCTTTGACAAAATTCAACGTTTTTGTTGAGTCATCACCAAACAATTCTTTTGCCCAGCTTAGGGTATTCTCTTTTTGGTTTTGGTAATGGTATGAAGACAGAAAATTCTCCAATCCACTCTTGTCAAATTGAAAATTTGAAGCATGAAATTTGTTTCAACTACAGTAGTTGGTTATGGGAAATCCTTGTTCAGCAACAATAGCTGTTTTAATCAAAATATTGTACGAGTATTGTCATTTGATCTAGGGCTATTAACCCGATTTCCATGGATAAAGAGCTTTTTTTCAGAAAATCCATGTGACACACATTACCAGTATTGCATATGCCATTTTCCCATTTTGCAATTGTAGATTTCTACCTGCTTTGGGACTAGGAACATTTTAAGTTCATTTACTTTCTAGATAGCTTACTCTAGCCTTTTCTTCATATTTTGATATCTACTAGGATAATGTTTTTGACCAATATTTATGGACAGATTTTACATGATTGTCTGTTATCTTCAATTCAGACTTGTTCTCCTCGAAAACTGAGTCAAACATATTGAACATATAGACCGCTGATAAACAGAACATGAATCTATAAGCACTAGATTACTAGAACTTGAATCAAACAAAAATGATTCTATTAATTTGAACTTACTATGAGGCTATGCAAATGGATATGCTCGCTGAAACTGTAATATGACCATTGACCTCTAATATGACTATTATTCTGATGGCGGCTCATTTTGAACCTTGGTCAAACTTTGGTTTATAGGCCTTGAACTTTGGTCATTTGGACCTTTGGTGTGTGGTAATTTACATGTAGACCTAAAATGTGGTCATTTAGAAATAAAATGTGGTCATTCAGACCTAAACTGTGGTCATTTAGACCTAAACTGTGGTCATTTAGACCTAAAAATGTGGTCATTTAGACCTAAAATCTGGTCATTTAGACCTGGACTGTGGTCATTATAGACCATGGTCATTTAGACCTTCATTATTCAAAATTCCATCTTGAAAAATCACATTTCCCTACCTGTCCAAGTACATTATTTCACGAGCACTAGGGGCCGTACTGGGTTCATAAGTCCAAACAATTGTAGTTAGACTAGTAAATAAAAGTTCCAAAAACTGCAAACAATGACTGTTGAAAAAATTTCAACAAGTCGAGCAGATCATCTGAACTAAAATCCATGTGCTATTTACAGCTATGTACAACTAGCCTAGTCTCTTACAAAGGTGTGTTTCCGTTGGCAGCTAAGCAAAAATAGGCCTAGTTATCGGTGCATATACATGTCCACTCAGCTGCACTACTCAGTTTTAATTTATTCAAATTAATACTACTAATAGCTGGAATCCGATAATAAGGGTTATTATGCGATATGAACTCTTAATAAGATGAGTGTAATAGAAATTAGAATTCACAATGGTTTGAGCTTTATTATACTCTAACAATGCAAGAAGTAAATTTCATGCTCCTTCGTTGTTCCTTGGTAAGGTAAGATTATATCTGGAAATTTTGAATTTTGCAAATGTGTGACTGTTGCAAGGCTACTCCTTGAAACTTTCAAAAAATGGCCTCACTTCACACTCTTCATACTAGCTTTGGGGAGCCATGCACCTCCAATTCATAGTTATGAAAAATCGGTTTAAATGTGAGGTTTTCTTTTATGTGTCTCTTTATACCAGGAAATGCATTCACATAAAAGGAAAACAGTATACAAAATCTTCTGACTTTATCAAAAAAATATGGCTCCCATGTTTTTGTACTTTTGATTAACATGTCACCTTAAGAGTACAGTGGGGATCATAAAGATTTGCAAAAGCTATGAAAATTACATGCTGTCGCACATGTAATAAATTCTTACCTCAGTGTATTCAGTGCTCTATTTTCTCCTTCTGAGTAAGTCCAAATATAGTGGAATTTGTGTCCCTAATGACAAATAAGAACTTCAAAAGTTGAAGTGGATATTCACATGTTATGCCGACTCTTCAAATGTTGAGGTGATTTTGTCGCCCGATTGCGCCGGAACGGAGGATTGGCTCCCAGAATGCAACATGACACGTGCCAGCTTTCAAAATGCTGTTCCGCCATTTTGAAACCTGTCATGAGTAAATACGGTAACTGATGTTGCATTCTGGGAGTCAACCATCCTTGGATAACAAACATGGCGATTCATGAAAACATGCATTCGATTTGGTAGGGATTTATCCATTATTTGCAGGTATGAAGCTTTGGATTCATGGTCCTACTTTAGTGAACGGGAATTATTTTTCTACCGCTTGGGAGAGTTTGAGACACGAAACTTGGAAATAAGCTCATTGTGACAACTTGTGAATGTTGAGTTTTATTTTTGTCCCCCACTGTAAAAAGGGAGCTCGATTTTGATGCTACCTGAAATTTGTAGAAAATGATTGTAAGATATATCCAGTAAAAACATAAGGAATCCTTTCAACAATCGACATGCTGATTCAAACAACTCTGCAGAGTAAAGTTACCCAAAATGGTAGAATTCCATCCACTAGTTTCTGAGAAATCTGAAGAATATGTAAAGAAGTGATTACAGTGCAAGTACCGAAAAATTTTGCAACCAAATTATTACCTCCAGAGTCGATTTCTTCCCCAAGACACGTCCACTGTTATAAATTGGTAGTTCCTAGAGTTCTTTGTTTCCTTAGGTTCATTCCCGTATGTTATTTTTAACGAAGGACAGCCTATAACGACTGCTATACGCAAAAAGATGCATGAAATTAAAAGTTTCGAAACTGAAAGTTGAAAAATGGCGACTTTCCCGTGTTCTATGCGCAGGTGCATTCAATCCAGCAATTTGATTAGTTCATATTATATGAACGCATGCGCAATAACTACACATATATTTTTAGATAGATGTCACTTGCGTTCATTATTTCACAGCAGTCCCTTCCCATGATGCACCTAATATCGCGGAAATATTTTCCTTTAGTGATAAAACAAATAACTCTCATTTTCGAAATACATTTTCCATTCCTTTGGTATCTAAGTATAACCGAACCAACCGCCGAAAAGTAATTCGAATCCTTCTGAATCTTGGGAATGAAGTACTTTCATTTTTGCGCATGCGCCGCGTATAGAACACGGGAAAGTCGCCATTTTTCAACTTTTAGTTTCGAAACTTTTAATAACTTTTAGAAACTTTTAATCTACGAGGTGATATTGATATCTGCTCAAGAGAGCAAAGCGAACGAGTACATATATCAACATCACAGAGTATATCGTCACAATATCCTCCGCATATTGGGTTTTCCGGAGTATATCGTCACAATATCCTCCACCCGGAGTATATCATCACGATATCCTCCAGTTATTCATTTTGCCAATAAATATCAAATTTATTTTTTGATGTTATTATACATTTAGTACACTAAGTGTAGGATAATCACATTTATTTTATGAATATTCATAGTGTTTATTTGACCTTTCATCGCCATTTCCTAAGTTCACTCGGTTTCTGAGAAAAACCACCCCTTATCGACTTTACAACCCGTTGTTAAAGTGTGTAAGGGTTCCAGGGTCTTGAAGCAAACCTAATGAGTACCATGCAGCAAAGATTATCTTTTAACCATAAGGTTTCCCATGTGTAATTTCAGGATACATGTACAGGGTTCCTATTAGGAGGTATAGGAGAACTGAACAAGCATAGACATCCCAACTTCATGGTAGTAGACAAAAGTAAGTCAGTTTTTAAGATTCATGTTATTACAGGTACTGCTTGTTTTGATCACCTTGATCCATCATGATATTTTATTTTCTGATTGAAGGAACATACTGGTATATCACCATACATGTGAGAGTTAGCTTGGAGTTTCATGAGCAATGTCTCTGGTCACATCTGTACGAGGAAAATATTGGGGAGGTTATGGTATCAAAAAAGCTTCATGCAAGAGTATTAAACTAATCCCAGCCTTTTATTTCCAGGCACAAGCGTAAGTGAGATAGAAGACTGTTTCAATGCCTTCAAAAGCAGAGATGAAATTGCAATTATTCTCATAAATCAAAATGTAAGTAGATTTTTTTAGGCCTAAAGAAGAACATAAATAAATACTAAATCTGAAATGTTATTCATTTCTTAATTTGACCCCTTTTTTAAATCATTACTCCAATTTTAAGACTTTATGATGATTTCTAAGGGTCTTGTGAGAAAATGAGAAAAATAATGAAAAATTTGCATATTTTCACCAATATTTTGGTCTTAATTGGGAAAATGAGTATTTTGTATCCATTTGAAAAAATCCTGGGAGAACACTATTGATATACAACAGTACACAATGAACATTCTAGGTAGCTGAGGAGATCCGCCATGTGCTAGATGCCCACACTGACCCCACACCAGCTGTACTAGAGATCCCAAGTAAAGATCACCCATACGATGCAAACAAAGACTCCATCCTCAGGAGAGCTAAGGTATATTGAGGTTGTTCAGTATCTTGCATTTGTTTTGTTTTGCTTCTTTTATATATTGATGCTGATTGGTACATCAACAATGTCTAAAATTGTTATATTCTGTGGTGATTGTGTTCTGAATACCAAAACCATCTTAAAGTGTGGTTCATGCTTTATGGTATGGCTAGGGGTATTTTCAATATAAAAACACTCCATATGTACCTATCATAAATGAACACCCATCATTATTTACACCCTAATTAAGGTTCATAATTCTCAAGCAACAATTAAGTCAATATTTTTATCATCTGCAGATAGTAGACCAGGGATCATTCATAAGATTACTGCCAATGAAAATGATAGAACAGTTTGGAAATATAAAATAAATAGTTGCAATTATATTGAGCATTAAAATTAGTTGCATATAAATTAATTGACATCAAAGGCATTGGAAATTACTTTAAAATTAAATTGATAATGTAAGAGTGCCACTGTTGATAACTGAAATAAGTAAGTAAACCATCTAAATAAATGATATAAAGAGTTGTGGTATTTGTGAAGATTTTGTTATTTCTGATTGCAGGGAATGTTCAGTGCAGAGGATCTACGATAATCCCATGGATAGCATCTGTCGTACCTCATTATAGGAATTCCTCCACTTGAACAATATAGCTGGAATAATATGTATATAAGACAAATAAAAGCAGCGTTCTCTTCAGCAATTCATTAACTGGGTGTTGCACCTGGTTGATAATTCAAAGTTACCTGTCTGTCACCCACTTGAAAAATCCTTTTGCACATAAGGACATTCCTCACCTGTACAATGGAAATTGAGAATTTTACACCCACTAGTTGAGATAAAATACAATGAAGAAGACCAGGATGAATATTGTGTATAAATACTACACTGTGTATAAACCAAATAGCATATAGAATAGATCATGGACATGTGTAGACGCACATTTCAATATTGTTGGCACATGCAAATTGCAAAACTAAACATCCTCCTAGCATATGTACAGAATCTGTTCCTTCTTCTTGATCTAGGAAACCCTATATTCGGAAAATAAGAGTTATCAGAAGACTTATGTCTGAACTGAATTTATGTTTTCAATTTTAAATGGTGATTTAATCCAGCACCTACACTGTACACTTATAATTAATTGTCTGGATTGGAGAGAGGGCTCATGTTGCATTATTTAGTCGATTAATATCTCAAAGACAGAAGTTCATCATCATCATAAAATTTATTTTTAAATGACAGTTAAATCCAATACCCACTGTGTATACAGTACTTATGATTGATTGGCTGGATTAGAGGGCTCATCATAAAATATTATTTTAGAATATAAAATGGTTTTCATGATTTGAGATTTGCTGTGAATCGTTACTCCGTGGAGTTAAGTTGTTATAAAGAAGTCTTGAGGCAGACTCATGGTGTGCGATCTGTGATTTATGGTTGTTGTTTGCCATCTCATCATCTCTAATTTATGATCTTTGTGGGTGATAATTACAGGTTGATAAAGAATTGATAGCATTATGTGACTTAAACTTTTGTGATGTTATTACTTCCGTTCAGAAAATTAGTAGACTGTCAATGACCATAGACCAAGATGAATGTCCTATGAAGGTGAAGAGAGACAATGACCTTGGTCAATTGCAGTAAAGTCTCTATATGAATCACTGCAAGTTTGACATCTTTTTAAGATGAATACAGTTTTGAAAAGGTTTTCTGAGTTAAACAATTCACCAGATACAATTTTCATTAATTTCCATGTGAGAAATGACTATGTGCAGACTGATTATAAGTTTAATAGTTTAAAGACCAATCTAGAACTTGTTTCACTTACATAGGTTTTAATGAAGATGTAGATGTGGGTAATGTAATAGCAATAAATCAAGGTCATGAAAGTTAAGTGGGATTTACTGAAAAGGAACTTGAATGATAAATGATTGGAAATCTTGCTATATCATTGATCATTTGCTGATCTTCCAATCATTTCTTCCACTTATCAATGTCAGTTTAACTTCCTTGTGCCTTAACCTGTGACTCTCTGATACATCCACCCTGAATCTATACCACATCTTCCCTGAATCCATACCACGTCTACCCTGAATCCATACCACATCTACCCTGGATCCATACCACATCTACCCTGGATCCATACCACGTCTACCCTGAATCGATACCACATCTACCCTGGATCCATATCACATCTACCCTGGATCCATACCATGTCTACCCTGAATCCATACCACATCTACCCTGGATCCATATCACATGTACCCTGGATCCATACCATGTCTACCCTGAATCCATATCACATCTACCCTGAATCCATATCACATCTACCCTGAATCCATACCAAGTCTAGGCTGAATCGATACCACATTTACTCTGAATCCATACCATATCCACCTTGAATCCATAATACCCTCTGACTTTTACAAATGATTTTACAGTTTTAGAGCTGAAAACATCTTAACATTCTCAAATGAAGTTTTCATTGCTTTTAGAGTTTGGAGTTTGATGATGGATGTTTGGAACATGATGCTGTAGAAAATGCAGTGTTTTGAATTTTTCATTTATATTCTGGTTGTATTTAGGTTTTGATCAGAGAATTGTCTCTCATTAAGAGTTTACCCAAGTTGAGCTTTTGCGAAGGGTAGGATACACTCACTGACAGTTCTTGAATTAGTCTCAAGTTACATCCTGGCTGCCTGGATTATAATGATGAATGATGACAGGCTTTATTTGTCAACACCAGAATGTACTTTCAATGGGAAACTGATCACATCCTTCATGAAAAGGTTTCATTGCTCTTTCATTTCAGCCCCTCATGGCCCAATACTTTCACTTTAGGAGTAATAAATGAGCTGGGTTTCTTATTGGTAGAAGCAATAATGCGTCCTACCATCACACTGCTCCATACTGAATTTTAATGGGCATGTTTTGTCCTTCTGTTTATCACCCTTAATGAGATTTTTATCCAGACTAGGGCAATAAACTCATTAGTGAATATATATTAATGCCTGTTTATCACTATAAACTATCTTTGGAAAATCACTGTTGATTTAAAAATGATTTCAAAGATTGCTTGTAACAATGGTTCTGATTGGCTGGTGATTTAAGGGCTGTCTGGAAGTTTGTTGACATAATACCATAAATAGCCAAGCTTGACCGAGGGTATGGAAAGAAGTGAAATACCCTTTGATCAAGGATGACTGGTATTCATCCTAATGTGGAAGCTTTAGAACACAAAGCGAGGGTAAATACCTAATATGTTCAGCATATCTATCCCTTTTCAAACTTCAAAAAAAACATAATGTATACATGTATCTTTCAATTTATCCCACTTCTAAGTGGATTACAAATGAAAAAATTACATTTGAAGTACAAATTAAGCTTTGTGGATAAAGTACTAAACCTTGAATATAATTTGTAACTGTAGCCTATTGCCTCATTTTGTGAACATTTGTGTACATGCTTTCACATTTCACATGTATATTCATCTTCTGGTCTACATTCTACAGAGTGTCTTAGAAGAACAGATTGACTTGCCATTTCTCTTGTGTATATTCCAGGACACTCTGTGCATCATAAATGATTCATTTAATTTATTGACAGTCACGGGAAGTAAGTCACCCCTCCCTGTTATATTCTGTATAGAATAATATAAGAATATTAGAGGGGAGGGGTGATTAACTCCCTGTGTTGACAGTTGCTTAAGAAGAACTATGATTATTGTCAATTAATAGTACAATAACGTCATTTCGATGGGCAATGCCCAAGGTCAAATATTTCACTATATTGCCCGCAGAAATGACATTATTAGTATTATTACCACCGTTATTGACCAGGTCTGAAACAGCAAGAAAATCTTACGCACTGAACGATATCTAATTTCCCGGGGAAAATTGCCGGTCAAGAATTGCATTCTCGACCGTGAAATATGGACCACCACTATGACGTCACATATTACTCAGGTCGATATAGTAAAATAAAATGAATACCTTCTAAACTAGCACTAAAACCCCTAGAACTGGCCCGGCAAGGTGGTAATAATTATCTATAATTCCAACTTGAGAATGAGAAATTGACAATCTAAATATGTATTTGGTTAGCATACTATGCAATGTCAAGCTGATCAATATTGTACAAGTTGTGTTGAAATTATATTATGCTACATGAACAGCTTTTATATGAATTGTTGTGATAGAAGACATATGTGCAATACATTCCAAATAAATGTATAGAAATTATTTCATTTTGTCATATTTTTTAAATGTAGGAATTAAATCCTGCGGCCAGGGCTGACGAAAGTTGCATTGTTACTTGAACCTGTTAGTCTCAGCTTGAACATGTTACCTTCCTTCAGTGTAAGACATTTCTTGAAAAATGAAGTTCTATAATTTTCCATTTTTATTTACAGATTGATAATAGTCAAATTATTTACAATAATCATAATGATTATTAAAGGGGCTCAACCTCATAAAAATTCTACAAAAATACTATAGTGAAATACAAACCTTCTTTGCTAATTATATATCAAAGTAAGACAAAATAATCTAGCAATTTACTCTGATATTAACAGAAGACTAATTTTAATCAAAACTATTAGATATAGTACAAAGTTACAGATTGCGATTTTGACTTATTTTAGGATTTAAATTAGAGGTTGAGCCTCTCTAAAGGAACAAATATAAACTATTCAGTAAATCTTCAAAAATTCATGCCAACTATGTGTCCATTATATATCAAATACTAGTCTTTATTTATTGTCATAAAAGTATGATCTGTGAAAAATTTGATATAATTTAGAGAATTTTCACAAGCATAAATTTTTGGGGATACCCTGTATATAAATAGGTATTTCAGATTAGTCACCGCTTGGATTAATTGTTGCATCCTTTTTTTCATTTGATATTCCATTTTCTGTTGAGTTTGATGTTACCTTGATTTTCTTTATTCGTGTACATATATTCCAGGCTAATAATCGGATGTACGCAAGCCGAAATTCTTTACTTTTGAATCCATATATAATAGCATTTGAAAATGAGTTGCAATATATGAAGATTGCTGAAAATCGATATAAGATTTGAAGCCAGATTGGCGCTGGGTTGTAGTATACTAACATAATGGTCGTGCAGATAAATGGTATGAAACATATCATCAAAACTGCATATACCCAAGCGACCATTTTAGTCAATTTAAAATCCTTGCGTTGAGACGGACATGTAGTTCCATTTCCTTGACAACGATGCATTGCATGCTGGATGTAGATTTTTTTATGTTGTTGCCAGGCAATTATGAAGATGTAAGCGTAAGCGAGGGTGCTGAGGGTAAGGACACTGAACACATGGAAAGTGAGGAGCAGGAATGTTCGTCTGTAGACAACTGACCAGAGACACATATCACCTTCATTGTACTGGTAGAATATCTTCATAATGACCACACAAATGACAGTATAGCTCCATATAAGGGCAATAACGATTTTGATCTTTCCGTCAGAGAACCATTTTGTGTGTAGATATGGTCTACTTATTGATACAAATCTGTCAAGTGTTACCAATAAGAAGTTCATCAAGGAAGCTAAGGCGCCAAGAGTTATACATGGAATACATATAAGACATGATATCTTCTCTGCGTTTTTATTTCCAAAATAGTTCACAAGATTTGGCGCGTAGAATCTAAATGAACATGATAGTAGCGCTAATCCCAATAAAAAATCAGCACATGCGAGGCTAAGGATGAACTTATTAGCACTGGTTTTCCTTAAGCATTTAAATTTTACGATACTAACGATTGTTAATAAATTAGTTGATATAATTAGCACTGCGACTATCATACACATTATGATGACGACCCATACAACTTGAGGATGTTCCTGATCCATCGATGGTGGAAGTAGACTACCATTACTTCCTGTTGGCTCCAATGTTGTAATTCTGTTCATAATCCTTCAGTACGTTTGACAATATTAGTTCCTGTTAAATGTCTCTGAACTATGATTCAATTCCAATAGGTTCTGTCCTTCTGGGTTAAGAGCTGTTTATCGAATCCAATTAGTTAAAGTTGGATGTATTCTTTCAGCAATAATTTCTCTTCTAGAAAAAATATATGTTTAACATTATCTGATAATAGTACTTTCCATTAAAGCAATCCTCTTTGAAAAAACTCCGCTAACATTATTTGGTTGAATCAGTTATAACTTCATAAATTAGTTGAAAAACATGTTTTCCCAATCACTTAGTCAATAGGTAGGGTTACCGATTATGTAACATTGTAGCTAATGCTCTTCTCTCATTTTTCTCAATCAAAATAATAGCAAGCTAGTAAAGCACCTTGTTTGAATTTTATTAATACATGTATAAGGTACATGTATAAGGTGTATATATCAACAATGATGCCAAAAGAGAAAGTAAAAACCAATGTCGCTCCTATATTTTATCCTTTAATTCACAATTATCTCAAACTATGATACTTATTGGTTGAAAACAATATAACTGTTATTCAGAAAAATTCCAGATTTGTTGAATATTGATTGGTACCTGCATTAGTGAGGAATTGCTATCTGTCTCCTAAACTGATTATCCGGCCATTAACGTTATTGAAATAGGTGTTCTATTATCATAAACATTAATCTCCCGACTGTTACGAGATTAAAGTTTCATGGAAGACGTGCAGGTAGCGAACTTCACTTGACTTCAAAGTCGGTTGTATAGTTTCTCTTAAAAGGGAGGTTCAGCTACAGGTTTTTAAGAGAATCAGTAAATATGAATGCGTAAAATTATGTCCCTCCCAGAATTAGTTATCCCTTTGGAGTATAAACTTGCCTGATAGAGTATAATAGTATAAGGAAAATAGTTGTCATCAGGAAAACACAATCAGTGGCACAGTAATCCATGGGGGTCATAAATAAGCTCCAATACAAGCATACATTTAAGGATACATAATAACATTCTTATATTAAATAACAGCCAAGGCTAGGCTAAGCAATAACACACCTCATAAATATCATCATAAGTGTCCATGGTCTAATTGGCCTCCATGTTGAATATAGGTTAATGAGTTAAGATGTACTTTGGGAGTTCACAGTCAGCTGCTTACGTTTCTGTGAGATTCGTAAATGTATTCAGTTAAGTGAGGAATTAATTTGACTGATGCTTCCGATCCCAGTTTGTCCATAAATGAGAGATAATACCTCATTGAATATGTTGAATGAACTAAACCAATGCACTCATCTACTCCATTGGTCATTACCAAAGAAACATACTATTACGTAATAGAGAATATGTGTTTTATTCATAGGGAAATGTAAATAATTTATGCAATCAATTAAACAAAGTTAGATTTTCAAATTCTCAAATATTTCTCTCTTAATTACAATACAAAAATACATTTATTACAATACAAAAAACTGATTTGATGGATTGCAATAGAATGCGCAGGATTTCATAGATATACACTCCCCTCCAAAAGTTTGGCAAACCTGATTCCCCATTGTAAAATGTATTTCAAAAAGCTTGTTTATGTTTTTATTTGAATTCCCTCAAATACAATAGATCGACAGTCTATGGGTTAATTTGCTAATTTTTTAAAAATGGGCTTTGATTGAATATAGGAGATGATGCTGTGCCATACTTATGATGGGGGGGGGGATGTATTATCACTTTTGTATGGGCAATGCATGTTATTCTAAATGGATTACTTAAAGGAATAAAACTTCATTGCATAGGTAAATTATATTTTTTCAATACTTTAATGACCACCTTGTAATGTCACACCCATTACTAACTACCTGGTACACTACTTTCACCACTTAAACACTCTACCCTACAACGTGACAACATTTAAAAGGAATACAGGTTACAGTCTGAGACTAACATACCCTTTTATATTTGTCTCAGCTGCAGTGAAGTTGCAAAAGGAGGAGTTTATTTCCATGTTTCTGGGGTAAACTAGATTTTGCATATCTCGTGCATGTGTGATCGAGGTAGGGTAGAGCGTTAAAATTCACCATTTAAAAATACTGAGTTGCCAAATGCACACTGTATATCTATTATGACCTCTGGGTTTGATTAGAAATTCTGAACATGTCAAGAGGCATCTTCAACATAACATTTTCAAAAATTTCTCTCCTGGTTTTCATACATAACAAAATACATGTAGTGCTATATTGGCCTTTTTGAAGTCTTCACATTTAAATATCCCAATTAAGCATGTACTAAACCAGTAGTTTTACAAGAAAGTGTCAACTGGCATACATGACAAGAGTGTATGCATGTGTACTTGTACTAGGTGTTTGGACTTACAATATGCACCAATCACTAACACAAGGCAATATCTTATTAGCATTATCCTGTACAGTAGAACACCACACAAGTGGAACACCTCACAAGTGGAACACTTTTTTGTGGTCTCAAGTGTATTCTACATTCACAGGTTCTACTGTAATGTATATACTTAATGGTTACTCTTATATTACAACTTAGCAGTTGATATATGAGAAAAAGGCAATAAGGTAGATAAAGACTGCTCGAACTTTTCCCTTCAGAGTATACTCATTAATCTCTAATCCTTATTCACATTACTTATGCAAGTGAAAAAGTAACTTTCTGAATAATTTCAATTTAATACATCACTTTAGAGCTGAATTCTATAAGTGAATCATCTTAACCTCAATTACTGGATTAGACACTAAAACTAATTAATAAAATAATCCAAAATAGCTAACATTGTAAATGTCATTGACTAAGTACTTCCTTCTTTTCAGTATACATAATTGATAAATCATTGCAGAATGCTCATTATATGAGGACATTGTACCGAAAGGAATTCCATGATTAGCCCTTCAGCATAATGCCTTTCAATTCAATGATTTTTGGAATTGCAATGCTTTTTGGAATTACGAAATGTACCTAAATTAGCATGTATACTGTGAATGCTATAACATAAGATTAAATCATACACCCCATATATATTACAGCATATATATTTTCATAAAAATATCCAAATAAAACAGGCAAGGTTTCTTTTGTGTAATAAGGCATATCATAAGCTTTCATGTACCTTTTAAGGAAAATATCCAATAACTGGTAGCTCGTTTCGCTTCATTTCGTACACATAATGCATAGAGATAAAATTTCCTAATTAATAATTTGCTGTGGTTGATGGAGAAAAATCTTCAATTTACAGAATTATTTTTTCATGAAACAACGAATTCTGTTGCTCTTTTACATCACAATGAGCCTTCAGGTCAAAATGCACTGTTCACTGATATATTTGTTTGAACTTATTTTGTAATACAAGGACATGGCCAGGATCTAAAATTAGATGAGGCAGTTTTCTTGATGGAATTCATTTCACACTTATTAGTAGGAAAAATGTCTGAAATCTACCATATGAGTTATATGGCATTTTGATGAAACAATATCCACCAAAAGGTATTACTTCAAACCATACTTAAACCATAATCACGATACGTTATCAAAATTGGACATTGGACAAATATGTCTGTTTACTAAATGATCACTTCAATTGTTTAATGTGCGTCGATAAACAAATTTCAATTAACCCATCAAGATGTGGCGGTCATAAGACAGTGGGCAATGATATGAGTATTCATATTTTAAATATGAACAAATACGCTCCACTACTCCACTACGTAAAATAACGCATAAAAATGGTGGCCATTTTTTAAATTGGCCGCCTGGCATCTACTAGCCAGTGTCATAACACAGTTTGGCATGCTTATGACAATATCAAATATGAACCAAATCGCTTCACTACTTTTCAAGTTACAGCAAAAATCATTTTTCAAGATGGCCACCATGTTAAATATTTAGACTTAAATCTTCATCAATATCCTATATAATTTTTGCATTTAAAATATATCAATATAATAGTTTTATATAATTATTGTGCCTAACATACAGTAATACTGACACTAATATCGCAGCCATTTTGAAAGTGGTGCAGAACGGAACTTGTTATCGAGCAGAATTTGTATGAGGCATACAGACGGGGACATATAAAATATGAAAGATATTGGTCCAACGGTATTTGAGTTAGTGCCCAGACAGACGGATTGACATAGAGGCACAGATGTACGTACATACGGAGCCATTCTCTATATCCCTACAGACTTTGTTCAATGGGATAATAATCATTCCTCTACTGTACATTCGATAATACTACTATCAATTGATATGCATAAAACTAAATATAATACCTTCTAAATATAATGAATAGTAGATGAAACTATTGATATAAAATGCTAAAATAAACTAAAATGTACTGAATCAACAAATGTTGTTCAATTTGGTCCTCATTATTACTTTGACCTATGCCAGATTGCATTTGAGCAATATTACATGTCTAATGTCTTACATTTTTGGAATGATTAACACCATCTATTAATAAAAACATTTTCCATGAATACATTTGATTTAGAAATAATTACTAGTCTCACATTTAATGTAACCACAGTATACTACAGGCTTAAAGGGCCACTATCTGCAATTTTAATCCTCGATGATTTGGACCTCAAAATATTTCTAATTTAATGTTACTTGCACCATCAAAATACCTTCTTTTCTATAATTAGTATAATAATTACCAAAATGTTGAAAAACATTATATAATTACATTTCAAAATTGAAATAGGTGAGAGTACTTTAATTCAATCTAGAACCTGTCAAGCAATTTTTCAAAGCTTTGGTATTTCCGGAAAAGAAACTTGAACCAAAGTCTATTATGGTGAAACTTTAAGTTGAAAAGTTCAATCATTGCAAATTAAAATATTTGGGTTATTTAGGATTGAAATGGCCGACATTGGATTTTAAACATACCAAGTCCAAGCTAAAGGCTACACCCTACAACTACATTCAATTCTGATGTGCCAAACTGTCTCTGGCTTAAAAAATGCTACATTTCATGTAAACATTTATGTAAAATATCACAGTTGTAAAATATATCCCCACTTCCTTCATTGCTAGCACATGCTACATCAACATTCACACACTGACACAGGTCCATGTGCAGTATGGCAAGTGATTTTAGACGGTCATATCTTTCACCATGAGTTCTTTTTGGCCTTAAATACAGTGGTTTTTATTTAAACAATATGTTTTCTTTCAAGTGAAGTACCCATGATGATAAAAATATCAATCAAACAATTCGAAAAATTATGAATAGGGACCCCATGTCAACAATTTTTTTTTCAAAATGTTGAACCTATTTACTCAAAAGAGGATCTCCTTTTTCTGATTTTTATTGCATGAAAAGATTATTCAAAAAGGGGTCTAAAACTTCTTCAAAAGTAGAATGGTATTGAAAGTCTAATTTTGGAGATATAAATTTTCGATGACCAAAATTATGCTAAAAATAATGGATAGCACAAGTTTTCCCTATGGGAAAATAACATGGGATACATGGTTTTTAACTTTAACACATTTCAATACCAATCTCCTTTTCAGAAGTTGTTAAGATAGTCTAGAAGAAACTTTCAGTATGGTTAAATTGAGAAAAACAAGATCCTCTTTTTAGAAAATAAGCCTACATTTTTTAAAAAGTGCCAAGGTGGGGTCTTAAATCATAATTTTTCAGAGAGTTGGATTGATATTTTATTTATTTATTTATTATCATGAGGACTTCACTTGAAAGAAAACATATTGTTTTAATAATAAAGGACCCACTGTCCTGTGCTCACACAGTGTTTTGTGCAGCCAATGATCACTGACTTTATACATGAGAAAGTTCCCTGAAATGACAAAGTCCTACTTTTTGTCAAACTTTATAGAGTAAACATCAAAAACTGTAATTTCAAGAGCTTTGAAATTTTCAGAGAACATAAGTTGCATGTACAGCAACTACTACAAGTTATTTGAAAAATTTGACTTTTGACATCAAAATCAGCAATTTCTCGGAAACCGGGCGAACTTGGGAAATTACGATGATAGGTCAAATAGGCATTATGGAAATGCATAAAATGAATGTGGATATGACTCAATCCGAATAGCAGTTTTAATTTGTGCGGCCCATGTTGACTGACAGACGGACCAATCGAAGGACGGACGCCTGGTCAATCCCATAGGCTCACTGTGTGAGCCAAAAACCACTGTATTTATGGCCAGAAAGTACTCATGGTGAAAGATATGACTGTCTAAAATCACTTGCCATACTGCACATGGACCTTTTGTCACTCTTCATATGGGGCTTCCAGTAGGCTGGGTACATGGGTACTAACCAGTCCTCACCATACCCTCAAGCTCACTAATACATATGGCCCCATTCCCTAGCTGTAATACCACCCTGTTGAGCAAACTCATGGGGTATGGTTAGTACCAGAGATGCATCCCTACTTCAGTCAACATTATCTTTGTCACATCCCCAGCTATAAGTGTTCTCTTACATAAAAATAGGGTTGACCAATTGACAAAGCCAAGCTCGTGCAGAGTGTACACAATTGGCCTCTTATAGAAATAATATGCATACTATGTATTAGTTCAAGCTGACTTCTTCAAATTCACTGTCAGTTCTAAACTTTGTTAATTTCTTGCTAAGCTTCCAAACTTCAGATTGGAGGTCTGTATCATATGCTTCAGTACCAGCTCTTTCCTCATGGCCATCGCGGAAATATTTTCCTGACACACCTGGAAATAAAAACATTAATCATGAAATCGCAATTCAAGACAAAAAGAATTATTATAAGTCTTGTATAAATCAATCCTCTGTATCTACAGGAATCACTTAAACTGGATAGAAGCATTAGCAAATTGCCATTTCCATTTGTTAGAAAATTGCTGATGGATGTACGAAAGAAGGGATAAATTGACAAAAAGACCTTGGGACAAGCTCACTCTGGGAGCCAAACTCAATGCAGAATCATCTTAATTTTACCCATGCCTAAAGAATTTGCTCTCTGAAGTTCAGCATTTAATAACATTCAAAGAAAAATGAATTAAACTTAACAAACAACAATGAGAACAATATCACATCAAAACCAAAAAGTAGGTGCAATGTCAAGAAATAATGGTACTTGGTTAGGGAAAACATCACCCTGTATGAATGAAGCATTAAGTCTTAAGGAAAGCCAATCATATTGACCAGAACCAGAACTTTCAATCTCATCATCCAAAAATGGTTGTGGTAAAGATGTTATTGCATACAACAGGAACATTATGTAGTAAGGAAGCAGAAATGAAAAAAGAAGTTGTTATGTAACACAAGTGCTATGTAGCTATGGTAACCACACATGGATTATTAAGAAAACACTGGACATGGAATAGGAATCAAATAACCAAAATTTGGTCAGATTCATGAATCTTAAAGCATGTACAGTGTATATGCACTCCATTTATCATCAAGTATAGCCAAAACAAATAAAGCATGTACAGTAAAACCTATTTAATAAGTGGAACACCTTTGGTACCTCTAAAAAGAGTTCCAACTGTGAGGTGTTCCACTTGTAGAGGTTCATTTAACTTAAGTCAATTGGTCTTGGGACTCTGATGTATTCCACCTTAGGAGGTGTTCCACTTCTAGAGATGTTCCACTTCACAGGTTTCACTGTATATAACCATCTTTCAAGACTCATTTTAATGGCACATTAAGAGCACATGTTCATATCTGTCTGGGTTCACTTTCTGACCCTTACATGCTTACTGATTATATTAATAAAAATAGTCAAACAATTTTCGATCATTTTTCATCAGAAATGTATCAAAATTCTTGAATTTTGAAGTGGGAAAAATTAAAATCCAGTCATTTTTTTATTACAGTCATAACAACATTTAATTTCACTATAAGCATGTCCTGAAATCCTGATTCCTTGCTCATTAGTGGATAGAGACAACTGAAATATTTCCCAAATTATTCATTATATTTAATGACACCAAATATACTTGACATAAATGGGTGACATTTTAAGCCAGTATATATTCATAATATAAGGTTTACAATAAAGGGCATGTGTTGTCACAACTTTTAAGTACAGATTGGGACCTGTCTATGTCACACCCGGTGATCGTGAAAATGGGACGGAGGGGGGGAGCAGGCAATTTCTGCAAGAAAATTCAACAAATCTGAGAGATTTATTTTTTCAAGAAAAAGTTTACTATTAAATTGCTGAATTGATAGGCGCACGGTATGGTAAAATATGTTAGGTCTTCTGGGATTTTTTCTGAAACGATAGGCATCTAAGATATGAGATCTATTAAAAAAGGCGCGAGGCAACCAACAGACACAAATCAACGTTTTAGCTATAAATCAAGCAACAATTGTCTACACGACCCGTATTAAATACTTGTAAGTGACGATATCATAACTAAATTAATGCCATTGCTGAATTTATAAAATAAGTTTCAATACGTAAAATAAAAAATAATCGAAAATAATTATGGGACGGAGGGGGGGAGCAATATGTATCATGTCTTAATACATATTGCTCCCCCCTCCGTCCCAAAATTATTTTCGATTATTTTTTATTTCACCTATGGAAACTTATTTTACAAAGTCAGCAATAACATTAATTTTGTGACGATAATGTCACTTACAAGTATTTATTACAGGTCATGTACACCATTGTTGCTTCATTTATAGCAACAAGATTGACTTTTGCACGTTGGTGCGTTGCGCCTTTTTTAATAGATCTTATACCCTAAAAGAGTATCGGTTGAAAAAAAATCCTAGAATACCTAACATATTTTACAATACCGTGAGCCTATTTATTTTAGCAATTCAATAGTAAACTTCTTCTTTAAAAAATAAATCTTCCAGATTTGTTGAAAGGAGTTGGGTAAACAAGGCCATTTTAAGCCCCACCTGATTTTCAAGTTTTCTCTTTATTTTATTAATCTATGTGATATATGTGTTTCAAAAATGTATGAAAATTTAGGTCAAGGTCATATTCCCCAGGTCAAGGTCAAATGAAAAAATTCATTATTTTCTACCAAAATATACCTTTTTGGTTAAAATATCACAAATATCTGTAGGAATTTAGTCTCATAGAGGTTGGAATTACAATATATAGTAAATTGGCAATTTGCCAATAATGAGATATTTATATTAATATATTCCGCCCTTCCCACGCAACACTGAAAGAGAACAAAAGTACCTAAAATAATGAAAATACTTTATTATTTTTAATTCATTTAAATTCAGAATGTACATTTCATGATTTTCCTCTGCCAATATCATATTTTCCCTCAGGATAAAATTCATATTCCATCCCTCCCATTATATAACCTCTATGTATTCAATAGCAATATCACCCAATTCAATATCGCCCAAATATGACCCAGATAATGTCCTAATATCATAGCAACATCAACCAATTGTCAATCAAATGTCACTCTATATCAATCCAAAATAACCCAAGTATTGGCCTCATATTATTTAAGTAACAGTCCAATATCAACCCTCTTATTTACCAAATATCACCCAATTATTCTGATTGTAATAATATCCCACTGTAAATCCAATATCAGCCAAATATGAGCCAAATAATGGACCCAATATGATAGCGATATCACCCCAATATCAATCCAATATCACCCAAATATTGGCCCAATGTGATAGCAATATCACCCAAATATCAAGCAAATATTGGCCCAATATCAATCCAATATCACCCAAATATTAGCCCAATATTATAGCAATATCACCCAAATATAAGCCCAATTCGATAGCAATTTCTGACAAATATCAATCCAATATTAACTTTATATCTGCCCAATTACCAACATATTGCCATTACATAAGCAATATCAAAAAATATAAGTTCTGATATCAACCTAATATCCCAACAATCTCCTCCCAAATCAAACTTATATTACCTCAATCACTGTGGCTAGTCGATCTATGTGGATGCAGTCAGGCACATGTAATGTTTCGTGAGTACCCGCCTCTGTACTTTTCAATGGAAGAATTTTGCACTTCTGTTTAAATAATCTATATTTACTCATCCGTGTATATCATACTTCATTGATTTACAAAACCAAAGCTACGCTATAAACACACATTCTCTGATATTTTTACGGAGAATAGATAACTCAAACGAGTTCATTCGACCAGTTTTATCATCTCGCTCATAGCTGTGAGAAGGTATGTATAAGTTGCCATAGGTTTACCTTATAATGGGGAATAAAAATTCAAGTAATATAATTATTTCACGTACACAAATATGTCTGTGTGAAGTAAAATACAAATACAATGCGTTTTATAATATTTTTGGCGTTATGGTATGAAATATCCGTTTTAAAAAAGCAATTTGATTATGATGTATCATGTGGATTAGTAGACGTTCTTAATGGATTCAATGAACAGACTGCCTAGGTTTTAATTGAATCATTTTGAATGTGTGTTTTTTTAATAATTTAATCCACAGTGTCCAAGAACAATAAAAATGCTATATTGGAAATTGGAAAGATTCCACTTACCACGATTTCAAAAAAATTGTAAATAGATAATATTATTCTTGAATTTGGGTCATTTGTTTCAAGGAATCTATAGGCTCGTTCAGCTGAGCTGACAAAATCATCAAGATTTACGGATGGTCTATCTGTTGGCTGCTCATTGTCACTTTTAAGGAATGTTAATGGCTCTGAAACGTGTAGCCTTGCCCAGGTCGGTATTTAGTTACTTATTTGATATTGAATTAATAGCACCTTGTACAATCCAAGATCCAATCCGAGATTCCCATAATACCTACGCTACCTAAGGTTATCGCGAAACATTATTAATTGACAAGATCGCATGGACACGACCTTTGACTTCAGTCTGGTTGACCAATCAAAATGTTATCTGTTCTGATCGAGTGTTTCTTGAGAGTTACAATATATTATGTTATTAAATGTACATTGGAATGTAAGCAGTCATTAATACATTAATGACTGCTTAATTTAATTAATGGCATTAATGACATCACTGCGATGATTTTTGAATGTTTTGCTAAGTTCCGGTAGTTCCCAGTGTTCCCAATATCTCTCACTAGGGTGGCACATGGGGCAGCGTAAAGGGGACAGTCAAACAGAAAATGAGAGATATTTGAAAGTCAATAAGATGATAAGAAAATCGCTGAGCATTCAAAGCACTAAGACCCATACGAATTCGAGAATGATTGATTGATGATCTGCTTGCCTTTCAGGAAAATAGTGGATTTTTGGGGTTGCAATGGAATAGTTTGTATTTGTGTTTGAAAGAGGAAGGTAGCTGATGCTTTTGAGTTCTTTGCTTAGATTGTTCCATTTATTTAAAATATAAGGTAAGAAGGAGGAGGAGGTCATTTTTAATCGGCATTTGGGTAACCTAAAATCATGGATGTTTCTGAGTAAATATCTTTGTTGGGGGTTTTGGATGAATGGTTGAATCAGGTCACTTAGGTATTGGTGTGCATTTTTATTAGAAATTTTATGAAACAGGAATAGAGCATGCATTTCTCTTCTTTTCTTTAATGTATCCCAGCCGAGCTCTTTCAAAATATTATTGTAGTTAGTGTGTCTATAAGCTCTGGTACATATAATTGCTGCATCCCTCTGAACTTTTTCTAAGATTTTGCTTTGGTTGTCAGTACAGTTATTGTATATGACATCACAATATTCTAAGACAGATCTTACCATCGAAAAGTAGAGAGTTTCCAAGTGTTTTTTTTATC